GGAATATCAACCAAAATCAAGAAGAAAACACAATATAGAAATGTTAAAATTGAGTTGCAGTTCAGTGAGTAAAATAAGTATTTGATCCCCAAGCAAAACATGACTCAGTACTTGGTGGAGAAACCTTTGTTGGCAAGTACAGAGGTACGAGATTCCTTGTAGATAGTTACCAGGTTTGCACACATCTCAGGAGGGATTTTGGTCCACTTTTCTTTCCAGATCTTTTCTAAATCCTTAAGGTTTCTTGGCTGTCACTTGGCAACTCGAAGGTTCAGCTCCCACCATATATGTTCTATAGGATTAAGGTCTGGAGACTGGCCAGGCCACTCCATGACCTTAATGTGCTTCTTCTTGAGTCACTCATTTGTTGCCATGGTGGTATGTAGGAATTTGGCCCATTTAGTAAAAAAAAGCATTTGTGAGGTCTAGTACTGAGGTTGAACAATGTCTGGCACGCAATAGGCATTTGAGTATATTCCAGAAACAATTGAGTACTGTCCGTGATACTTTTTTTATTTGCACTAACATACAAATTTGAGGACAAGCTTTCGGGGAATGTCCCCTTCTTCAGGTCTAAGCAGTACACATGCTTCTTAGACCTGAAGAAGGGGACATTCCCCGAAAGCTTGTCCTCAAAATTGTATGTTAGTGCAAATAAAAATAGTATCACGGGCAGTACTCAATTTTTTCTGGCGCAAATGCACTAATACGGCTACAATCACCTCAAGTATATTCCAAAGATTTTCAATGGGGTTGAGATCAAGGCTCTGTGAAGGCAACTCAGGTTCCTCATACATCAAGCTCATCAAACCATATAATTCTGGACCTAACTTTTGGGTACAGTCACGTCCTAAAAATGTCATCACAAGGTTGGAAGCACACAGTTGTTTAATATTTCTTTGTATGCTGTAACATTAACAAGAACCTTCATTGGAAACACCTGAACTCAATAATTAGGAGGGGGTGTCACAGTAATTTTTGCCATATAGTATGTGAGATTATCAGATGTCCACACACTTTTGATCATATAGTGTATCTTAGCATAAACATGGATGACTAAATCTATCCTGTCAGAAGGTTAAAGTGGTTGTATACCCTTACATATACCCAGTGAAGTAACTGGCCGCAGATGATACAGAGAAGAAACAAATCCTCCTACATATGTTGTACCTGTTTATCTGCCGCTGTCTGTCTTGTACATTCATTCAAAGTGCAGAATTTACATAGGATCTCTCAGCTCTGAAAAGCAAGGAGCGGGGAGCTGAAGTTTCATCAGTGAGGAGAGCTCTGAGAGCTGATTAGAGGGAAGGGGCACCCCTTCCCTACACACAACTGACAGGAACAGGACTGAGGCTGTTAATCAGCTGAAGGTCTGATCCCTGACACCATTTTTCTCTTGGTGTCAGGAAAACGTGTCAAAAGTGATTCATGCTGATAGTAGATGAACAAAGCAGCAGACAGAAATGACACTTATTGCTCTTAATTGAGACAAGTACACACTGTAGAAGGATATGCTTTGTTTATATTTCATGTCTGAGGTTTACAACCACTTTAAACGCTTCCCCTCTACCATTTAGCAGAAATACTGCTACAGGGCAGCAGGGGTGCACAAAATCACATGTATATATATGAGATTTTGCAGTTTCGCCCTACCCGCACCGCCATCCGGGGCCGGTGATTACTCGCCACCAACCGGTGATCGCCGTGCATCTCCAACAGGGTAGAGACCTGTATGTAAACAATACAAATCTCTCCCGTCAGCTCCCTTGCACACTGCTTTGTATGGCTCTGCATAGCAGAGCCATACATAGCAGTGTGCTTACAGCAGAACACAGACACAGCCTACGTAGTAAAACAGCACACAGTTAACCCTTTGATCGCCCAAGATTTTAACCCCTTCCTGCACAGTGTCATTAGTACAGTGGCAATGATTTTTATTAGCACTGATCACTGTATTGGTAACACTGGAGATGTCAGTGACACCAAGTCAGTTCCCCCCAGTGTCCGAATGCCTGTCACAGTCCTGCAGTCTTGCTATAAGTCGCTGATCGCTGCCATTACTAGTAAAAAAAAAAAAAATTCCAGTATCTAGACCGCCATTTGCAAATGCTATAACTTTCATGTAAACCAATTAATTTACAAATATTGGAATTTTTTTTTTTAGCAAAGACATGAAGCAGAATACATTTTGGCCTAAATTTATGATGAAATTAGATTTTTTACATTTTTTTACTGGACATGTTCAATAGGAAAAAGTCAAAAATATTGTTTGTTTTCTCAAAATTGTCAGTATTTTTTTGTTTATAGCGCAAAAAATAAAAAACGCACAGGCGATCAAATATCACCGAAAGAAAGCTCCATTTCTGGCGAAAAATACTGCTTCTTTTTCAGGAATACAGTGCTGTCCTCTCTCCACCCCGGGCCTTGTGGCCGGATAGTGAAAGAGCAGTACAAAATGGTGAGGTCATCCCTCTTACACTTGGTTCTCTCTCCCTACTACAATGTAATTTGTCAACATATTTTCATGTTGCACCTGATTGGGCAGCACAGCCATGCATCGGGAGGAAACCGGACATCGCGGTAAACTTCCTGGTTGTGCACGCCCCCTATTAACCTATGCTGTGATTGGACTAATGATTTTGGCTGAAACCTGCTGATCAGCTGCGACCAATCACAGCACAGAGTTCTGTGTTTACAAACACACAGAACTCTGTGTACACAGAACAGCGATCTGGCTGTTTCTTCTCCCAGAGCCTAGGTTCACACTAAAGCAGTGTGGGAAATGCCTGTTTCCTGCATTGCATTCTAATTGTGCTGCCCTTGCGATCTGCTGTGGGTGTCACTACAAAGTTAACAACACCCCAAACACAGATCATAAATGCAGTGCATTTCCTGCACCAGATGCGGTTGCAGGGCGGCTCCAAAAAATGTACATGTACATCTTTGGTGCGATACAGTACGATTTGAGCCCATTCCAAATGCATGGGCTCAAATTGCACCACACAGATTCACATGTGAATTGCACGGGGATGCGGTTCTGTTCCTGTGGTTCATAGTGTGATCCAAGACTGAAAAGCAGGGAGAAAAAGTAGCCAGATCTAAAAGGAGTACACAGTACAATTGTTAGGCACACAGTTCACCCCTTCACTGCCCCTTGTTGTTAACCCCTTTCTAGCCAGTGTCATTAGTACAGTGTACAGTATTATCCCTGATCACTGTAATAGTGTCACTAGTGATGTCTTTGTCAGTTAGTGTCCTTCCCATCCAGTGTCACTTAACTCCAGCTTGCCCATCGCACTTCGCAGTTACATTGTAAGTCACTGATAACCACCATTGTTTAATATCTGTACAGATCAGTATCTTGATAACAATCAGAACTATACTAGTGTTAATTAGTATAGTGTCCCCAAAAACATCTTGATTTTTACCAGACATGTAGCGGAATACATTTTGGCCTCAATGCGGATTTTTTTTTTGGATATGTTTTAAAACAAAGTAGAAAATATCATTTTTTAAAAATGTTCTTTTTTTTCCATTTATATATAAAAATAAAAAGATGCCCCGTGTGTTCCTTCATCCAGAGTGTAGGCACTGTAATACGAGAGGTGTAGTAATGTCCAGATCACCAGGTAAAAGCAGAGAGAGAAATAACTAAAAAAGAAAACTAATGCAGCTACTGGATCTAAGGATTGGTAAACTGCAATATATTACATTTTTGATTTGGGCCTTAATACTGCTTTAAAGCAAACTTCTGGAATGTGTAGACAGCATTGACCATTGTGGGCATTCATGAAAGTAGACAGTGTCCATTCACACGTGAATATTTTTCTGCTCTTTTCCCTACACCTGACTACATCTACAAAGAATGTCATTCTTTCTATCTGTGTCTGTCCACATGTTGCCCTACACTCAACGCCCTACACTCAAAAAAAGTACTTTTTTTTTTACCTTATTCAAGCAATTTTGATCCCATAGACTTCAGTTGCAACGGCTGTAAACATATACAATTTTAATGCATTTTTGCATGCAGTTTACTCCTGAAGAATTCCTATCCTCCTATAAAAATGCTCTCCTTCCCTTGCCCAGCCCAGACATAAACTCCTTAAAGACCAACTCTGGGCAAAAAAAAAACTTTACCCATGCAGTCGGGTTGTACCTGCATTGCACGGGTCAACTGTTTGTTTTGTTTAGGAGTGAGGAGAAAGCTTATACTCACCCAATCCTTCAATCCTCTGGAAACAGCGCTTCCCCACAGTCCAGTGATGGACTGTTCCTAGTCTATGGAGCCTGCTCTTGACGTGATGACATCAGGAACAGTCGACTACTCAACACCACTGCAGTGCGGAGATGCCAGACCGGTCTTGTGCTGGGAGGATTAGGTAAGTACATCTGTGCCCTCCTCTCCCCTTGAAAATGAGCAGTTAACCCATGCAGTGCAGGCACAGCACCACTGCATGGGATTTTTTTTTTTTTTTTACTGAAGTTGGACTTTGATGCTTAATACACACTCAAAAACACATAAAACACATCTAATACACCTGAAAAAAACAGGAGTACGCTCTGCTCAGGTGTGAATGTAGGCTATGAAGTAGAGAGTTACATGCTCCTCATATATTTCATTGGGTCACAGTGGGAAACAAGGCAGTAGTAGAGTGCAGAAAAGGAATCAGCAGCAGAGATGTTGGGTTAAGTATACTATAGGTTCACTTTAAGTTGCTTCTGTCCTTTTCATGTCCTCTCAGGAGAGGTAGCGATAGGAAATCCCCTCTAATGCAGATAGTAAAAACAGAAAAGAAAATGCTTTTAGTAGAGTGAGGAAGGGTTAAAAATTCTGACAATGTTATTTTTGAAAGGGGCCACAGAGACAGGAAGTAAGGTAACTTCCCCCAATAGTGTTACAGTTCAAAATTAAACCTGACAGAAACCTTTATCTATCTAAACCTGACAGAAACTCTATCTAAGACTAGCTGGAGTTAAAATTTAATCTCAAACTGACAGAGCTATACATCCTTCAAAAACCACTTGGCTAATTGATGAACAACCTGATATCTTGGACTCTGCTTTATGACTGCACATGCTTTACAGTACTGATATGACCATCCAGAAAGTGCCTTCACATAGTATCGGGATCTCCAGTTGAAATACTTTTGGTACTTCACATCATCTTTGTCCAACTCAAGAAGATATTCAGCCAGCTCCTTTGGACTTGGAAAGTCATCAACATGAATGAAGGAATCTCCTGGGACAAAACGTTCATAGTTCTCACGGGAGGTTCCTAATACAACTGGAACAGCCCATGAACCAAAGGCATTTGACCAAAACTTTTCAGTGATATAGTCTTTATATATAGAATTCTCAAAAGACAAATAAAATTTATACTGAGATATTGTTTGGTGGAAATCTTCTGATCTAAGTGGTTTGTGTCGCTTTCCGTAAACATCTATTGGAATATGTTTGTTCAACTCTTCATAAAAAGAAATGCGAGGAACACCAGGATACCATTTGCTGACTACCCAAGATACCAACTTGGACTTCTTGGGAATGGAGAAGTTTCGAGACTCTTTCATTGTTTCTATTTGACCATATGGGATAAAAATATCTGAATCCTGACGGAATGTCATAGTTGCATTGAACAAGTTGTCCAACATCTCCAAGTTTGTAATAATCAGAGGAGGCTCTAAGTTATTCCACACCCAACGCTGGAAAGAAGGTCTTGGTTGTTTAGGCAATGCATTCCTATTATGCATTATATCTGCATGATGTATAACAACAGCATCAGCAATACCATATAGACTCCTGTTTGTTGACAGCTTGCATCCATGAAAACCAAATTCTGTACACTTGTCTAATGCAAAATGTTCCCCCCATGGCCAATTCCAAACCAGAACAATAGTGTCTATTGGCGTTGGATTTGGAGTCCCTTTCTCTGATGTCTTGTTCTGGACCTTATTGTCTTGCTTACGTATCATTTGTGGACATTCTGAATTATAAGAAGCAAACCGGTGCCAGAAGAATGAAAAGAGAAAAGAAATGATCAACAGGAAAAACAGGATCATGTGTTGCTGATTGATTGATGCCAAGATCATCATCTTTCATCTGTGGAGAAATTAAAAAGCAATACATTACATTTCAAACAAGTACCATTATTTATTTATTACAGGTACTTAACCGCTTTCCGGCCGCTCTACAGCAGAAATATTGCTACAGGGGGGCAGGGGTGTGCAAAATCACGTATATTTCCGTGGTTTTGCATTTCCAGGTAGAGGGTGTGCACCGCCATTGGCGGTCTCACCTGTCGATCACCAGGTCCCAGCTGGTGATTCCCCGCCGGCACCCGGCGATCACCTTGTATCACCAACGGGGAAGAGACCTGTGTGTAAACAATACAGATCTCTCCACTGTCAGCTCCTGCACACTGCTTTGTATGGCTCTGCATAGCAAGATCAACAATGACTAATTTTATTAATAAGAAAATATACTCACAAAGTGATGGTATAACAGGCATAAGTAACTATAATCCAAACAGGGTTACAGGTAAATCGAAAAGGGGGGGTGAAGGCTAACGCGTTTCGAAGGGTGCTCCCTTCTTCATCAGAGCTGATAAAAAAACATATGCAAATACAAATACAAATTCCCCTCAAACTATTTACATGAATCATGATGGTATAACAGGTGGTGATACAGTTAGATAAGCATAGAAATACACATGAAAATACTCATGGTAATACGTATAGTGATAATAATAATAATAATTAGAGATGAGCGAATCGAAGTAGGCGAAGTGGAATTCGTTTCGAATAATAGAAAAATTTCGATTTGCGCCGAATCCGAAAATTAGCATACTTCGGATGCGCGAATCGAAATTTTTCCTAAAATGGCGGCGACATGTGCGGCGACGGAGCGGGGATGTCTGGGAAGGCGCGCAGACAAGGCGCGCTGACCCATAATGCATTCATTAATGACATGTGATCGCATTAGCCAATCAGCAGCCAGCCAGCCAGCACTGTGTAATGGTCGAGCTATAAATGGCGGCCATTTTAGAATTCTCCATTTGCCTCCAGTCATTCAAGAGAGGCAGACCTCTCTGTATTAGGGACAGAGTTAGGGCCACAGAAACGTTACTTAGGGACAGAGAAACGTTACTTAGAGCCACAGAAACGTTACTTAGGGACAGAGAAACGTTACTTAGGGCCACAGAAACGTTACTTAGGGACAGAGAAACGTTACTTAGGGCCACAGAAACGTTACTTAGGGCCACAGAAACGTTACCTAGGGCCACAGAAACGTTACTTAGGGCCACAGAATCGTTACTTAGGGCCACAGAAACGTTACTTAGGGCCACAGAAACGTTACTTAGGGCCACAGAAACGTTACTTAGGGCCACAGAATCGTTACTTAGGGCCACAGAAACGTTACTTAGGGCCACAGAAACGTTACTTAGAGCCACAGAATCGTTACTTAGGGCCACAGAAACGTTACTTAGGGCCACAGAAACGTTACTTAGGGCCACAGAATCGTTACTTAGGGCCACAGAAACGTTACTTAGGGCCACAGAACCGTTACTTAGGGCCACAGAAATGTTACTCAGGGACAGACACAGAATTGTTACTCAGGGACAGACACAGAATTGTTACTGAGGGACACAGAATTGTTACTGAGGGACACAGAATTGTTACTCAGGGACAGACACAGAATTGTTACTCAGGGACAGACACAGAATTGTTACTCAGGGACAGACAGAATTGTTACTGAGGGACACAGAATTGAGGGACACAGAATTGTACTGAGGGACACAGAACTGTTACTCAGGGACACAGAACTGTTACTCAGGGACACAGAACTGTTACTCAGGGACACACAGAATTGTTACTGAGGGACACAGAATTGTTACTGAGGGACACAGAATTGTTACTGAGGGACACAGAATTGTTACTCAGGGACACAGAATTGTTACTGAGGGACACAGAATGTTACTGAGGGACACAGAACTGTTACTCAGGGACACAGAACTGTTACTCAGGGACACAGAACTGTTACTCTCAGGACAGACACAGAATTGTTACTGAGGGACACAGAATTGTTACTGAGGGACACAGAATTGTTACTCAGGGACACAGAATTGTTACTCAGGGACAGACACAGAATTGTTACTGAGGGACACAGAATTGTTACTGAGGGACACAGAATTGTTACTGAGGGACACAGAACAGAATTGTTACTCAGGGACACAGAATGTTACTCAGGGACACAGAATTGTTACTCAGGGACACAGAATTGTTACTCAGGGACACAGACAGAATTGTTACTGAGGGACACAGAATTGTTACTGAGGGACACAGAATTGTTACTCAGGGACACAGAATTGTTACTGAGGGACACACAGAATGTTACTCAGGGACAGAACAGAATTGTTACTCAGGGACAGGGACACAGAATTGTTACTCAGGGACACAGAATTGTTACTGAGGGACACAGAATTGTTACTCAGGGACACAGAATTGTTACTCAGGGACACAGAATTGTTACTCAGGGACACAGAATTGTTACTCAGGGACACAGAATTGTTACTGAGGGACACAGAATTGTTACTCAGGGACACAGAATTGTTACTGAGGGACACAGAATTGTTACTCAGGGACACAGAATTGTTACTCAGGGACACAGAATTGTTACTCAGGGACAGACACAGAATTGTTACTGAGGGACACAGAATTGTTACTGAGGGACACAGAATTGTTACTCAGGGACACAGAATTGTTACTCAGGGACACAGAATTGTTACTCAGGGACAGACACAGAATTGTTACTGAGGGACACAGAACTGTTACTCAGGGACACAGAACTGTTACTCAGGGACAGACACAGAATTGTTACTGAGGGACACAGAATTGTTACTGAGGGACACAGAATTGTTACTCAGGGACACAGAATTGTTACTCAGGGACACAGAATTGTTACTGAGGGACACAGAATTGTTACTGAGGGACACAGAATTGTTACTCAGGGACACAGAATTGTTACTGAGGGACACAGAATTGTTACTCAGGGACACAGAACTGTTACTCAGGGACACAGAATTGTTACTCAGGGACACAGACACAGAATTGTTACTGAGGGACACAGAATTGTTACTGAGGGACAGACACAGAATTGTTACTGAGGGACACAGAATTGTTACTGAGGGACACAGAATTGTTACTGAGGGACACAGAATTGTTACTGAGGGACACAGAACTGTTACTCAGGGACACAGAATTGTTACTCAGAGGTTACTGAGACACAGAATTGTTACTGAGAGGGACACAGAATTGTTACTGAGGGACACAGAATTGTTACTCAGGGACAGACACAGAATTGTTACTGAGGGACACAGAATTGTTACTGAGGGACACAGAACTGTTACTCAGGGACACAGAATTGTTACTCAGGGACAGACACAGAATTGTTACTGAGGGACACAGAATTGTTACTGAGGGACACAGAATTGTTACTGAGGACACAGAATTGTTACTGAGGGACACAGAATTGTTACTCAGGGACAGACAGAATTGTTACTGAGGGACACAGAACTGTTACTCAGGGACACAGAACTGTTACTCAGGGACACAGAACTGTTACTCAGGGACAGACACAAAATTGTTACTGAGGGACACAGAATTGTTACTGAGGGACACAGAATTGTTACTGAGGGACACAGAATTGTTACTGAGGGACACAGAATTGTTACTCAGGGACAGACACAGAATTGTTACTGAGGGACACAGAACTGTTACTCAGGGACACAGAATGTTACTCAGGGACACAGAACTGTTACTCAGGGACAGACACAGAATTGTTACTGAGGGACACAGAATTGTTACTGAGGGACACAGAATTGTTACTGAGGGACACAGAATTGTTACTCAGGGACACAGAATTGTTACTGAGGGACACAGAATTGTTACTCAGGGACACAGAATTGTTACTGAGGGACACAGAATTGTTACTGAGGGACACAGAATTGTTACTGAGGGACACAGAATTGTTACTCAGGGACAGACACAGAATTGTTACTGAGGGACACAGAATTGTTACTCAGGGACACAGAATGTTACTCAGGGACACAGAATTGTTACTCAGGGACACAGAATTGTTACTGAGGGACACAGAATTGTTACTGAGGGACACAGAATTGTTACTCAGGGACACAGAATTGTTACTGAGGGACACAGAATTGTTACTCAGGGACAGACACAGAATTGTTACTGAGGGACACAGAACTGTTACTCAGGGACACAGAACTGTTACTCAGGGACACAGAACTGTTACTCAGGGACAGACACAGAATTGTTACTGAGGGACACAGAATTGTTACTGAGGGACACAGAATTGTTACTGAGGGACACAGAATTGTTACTGAGGGACACAGAATTGTTACTCAGGGACACAGAATTGTTACTGAGGGACACAGAACTGTTACTCAGGGACACAGAACTTGTTACTCAGGGACACAGAACTGTTACTCAGGGACAGACACAGAATTGTTACTGAGGGACACAGAATTGTTACTGAGGGACACAGAATTGTTACTGAGGGACACAGAACTTGTTACTCAGGGACACAGAAATGTTACTCAGGGACAGACACAGAATTGTTACTGAGGGACACAGAATTGTTACTGAGGGACACAGCATTGTTACTCAGGGACACAGAATTGTTACTGAGGGACAGACACAGAATTGTTACTGAGGGACACAGAATTGTTACTGAGGGACACAGAATTGTTACTCAGGGACACAGAATTGTTACTGAGGGACACAGAATTGTTACTCAGGGACAGACACAGAATTGTTACTCAGGGACAGACACAGAATTGTTACTGAGGGACACAGAATTGTTACTGAGGGACACACAAATTGTTACTGAGGGACACAGAAGTGTTACTGAGGGACACAGAATTGTTACTGAGGGACACAGAATTGTTACTCAG